GCAGCTTCACCCGGGCAGCCCCCCACCTGCCTGCTCTGCTCCCTCCCTGCTCCTCTCCTGGCCCTTGGGAGCACCCCTCCCCCCACTCTACCCCTGGAGTTAAGCCAGCAAGATCCAAACCTGACAGCTTGTCTCATGCTTAATTTGGTGGCCTGACATGAGGCACTGGGGCTCGCTCTGAGTGGGGCAGGGCCCCGCAGCTCCCACCGCCCCAGCTGCAGGTGCCCATGCTGAGCAGCGCTGGAGCGGCAGGGACCCTGCGGCTCTGCACCCAGGGCAAAGGGGTGCCCGCAGGAGCCCTGGTTCATCAGTGATTCACACAAAGGCAGAGAGAAGCTATTGCCTCGTGTCTTCATTCCTGTTACCTGCGATATCCGTCCAGCATGTTCAGTTTATCTCCCAATTAAAAAAGATGCTGGCTCCAAATTCAAACCAACTGCTTGTCTCTCCTTCCTCAACAAGGACACTTCCCTCTTCCCTTTCGCAGCCCCCTTCTCAGTAGCTTGAAACTTCCTCAAAATCTCCTGTAGAGCTAGCGTTTGTCCAGACAAGATGCTGAGTCTTGTTTCCAGCTCTGGGCAAATCCCCTCTGGCAACTGGAACTGCTCCTTCCTGCACCTGGGAAAAACGAGTCTGTGTTATTTGATTTTCTTTTTGCAGCTCAGCTACATGGTAGAAACATTGGGTGGATGGAGGGACCTAGAGACTGACTCTGGCCATGTGTCTCAGCCAAAGGGGCAGGGGCAGCACAGACAGTGGCAGTCACAGGCGATGCGTAGAAGGAGCACGGTGGGGGAACGTGCCCCCCATGACAGGGACGGTGGTGCTGAGAGAGCTCGCCAGCTCTTTCCCAACAGCCGACGCCACCCACTCGATTCGGGAGGCACCAGTTGCCCACGGTGGCAGTGGCAGCTCCCCCAGAAGGGATCGATCCCCAGCAGGGACGTTTTCTCCAGCTCCAAAACGTCCAGGACGTTTCCTGGGATCAGAAAGGAGCAGAGACTTCACGGGTCGTTGGCTCAAGCTCTGGTGGGCAGGAATATTCCCCAGGGACAAGAGGGGGAAAGCCCAGATTACACCTTACAGTCTGCAGGCCACCAGTGCCCAAAGCCATCACTTCCCCGAGAAGTGGGGGTCGTTCATGCTTCCCACCTCAGGGACAGTCCCAGGGCTTGCTGTGCTGTGATGTCCTGCACAGATGTGCCCATTGCATTTTCCCCAGGACCCTTCCCTCTATGGGGAGTCAGGTGGAGTCACGTACCTGCTCAGCGTGCTCCTCATGTCCTAAAGGGAGAGACAAAGATGCAAGAGTGAGCTCGGTGCAATGCCCCACACTGGGGACCCCCTGCCCGAGGGGACGCACTTTGTCCCCAGACTCCGAGTGCCGCACACAGAGGATCTGGGGAAAGTTCAGCCCCTTTACAAGCCCTGATTTAGTGATCCCCCAAGAGATGTAATAGGGCAGCCATGCACCTTGGGCAGTGGACATGCACAGGGCAGCAGCAGCTGGGGCTGATATTCTGCATCTCCCATCACTGCCACCACGTGCCTGTCAGGGGCCGTTGCCCTTGTCGCCCCTCCTCAGTTATGCACCTGGTCCTGGCAGACCCAAGGTTTAGCCTTTTCCCTCCCCTGCACTGGGACTGGAGACATTTCATCAATCCCGCTCCCCACCTCCCCCAGCTCGGCCAGCACGACTCGCTCTTGTTCCTCCAGAAACCGGCGCAGTCGCACAAACGCTGCCACAATCTTCTGCCTCTCGGATGCTGCCTTTTGCTGCCAGGAACAGAGAGAAACCACGTCAGGGAGGGCAGCCGCTTTGGGGAGAGTCAGGGCATGGTTTGTAAGGCCCTGTGCTCCTGACTGTCCACATGGCTGGGACCCCCGACCTCCCACCATCTGGAGCAGAGCTGGGAGTAGCAAAGGTTTTTTTCTGTTTCCCTGAGAGCCAGGACTGTAAGGAGTGGAGAAGTCCATGGCTGTCAGCAAGGAAAGATTTCCTCTTATAATCAGTAATCCTGGTTTTCTCTGTTTAAAAATGCAAACTTCTCTGCTAAAAACCCCAAATCCACATTTTTCAACAATTAAAGTGAAACACCGCTATATATATAGCTATCAGCTGAACACAATTTTTTTGTTTGCAAGGCCTGGCTCCATGCACCTGCCACAACACCCTGCAACACACGGTCACAAAATGCCACGGTCACTGTCCCACCAAACATGCAGAGCAGGACACGTCCCTTCCTTCCTCCCCGATGTCAGCTGGACCCCGGCAGCACCCACCTGGTATTCCTGGTGTTTCTGGCTTTCACTCCCTTGCAGTGCTTCAAGCCTCTCCCTCTCTCCCCTTAGCAGCTGCAGCTG